ACCGACCAACCTCTACTCATTGGCTTGCTATTAAACAAGTTCTTGGTTATCTAAAGGGAACATCCCACAATGGTCTCTTCATTTTTGCTCAATCTCCTCTTGCTCTTTATGCATTTGCGGATGACAATTGGACTGGAGATACTGATACACGAAACTTTACATTTGCCTATGTTTTCTTTCTTGGCTCCAATCCTATTAGCTAAAGCTCTAAGAAACAATCTACCATTGCTCGGTCCTCCACTGAAGCCGAATACCATTCCATTGCTACCGCTACTGCTGAAGTGAAATGGATTGCCAATCTTCTCCTTGAACTAGAAATTAGTTCCCGCCTCTCCAACAATTTACTATTACAATGTTGGAGCCACTTACTCATGCTCCAATCTTGTCTTCCATTCTCGAATGAAGCACATTGCCATTGACTTTCATTTCCTCCGTGATCAGGTCTCTCGCAAGTTGCTCCACATTTTCCATGTTCACACAACAGACCAGCTCGCGGACTCCCTTACTAATCCACTAGCTCGAAAGCAGTTTCTTATTCATCGATCCAAGCTTAGTGTCCTTTCTATACCCTTGCGCTTGTGGGGGCATGATAGAGCACATAATTAGCACTCATTTATGGAAAGATTTACCATTCCCTTAATTTTAATTCTCTGTAACCCTCTCCTTATTTAGATGAATTAGTTTCTCATCGTATAGCCTAGAATAGTGGGATTGTATGGTCAGTCTACTGTATATATTGATAATCACCAATTGTTAATACATAATGCATTCTTTCACCCAATTTGTTTAATTCTACGCCATGATATTGTTTGACAAGCCAAGGCTGGTGACACGTAAACATTATTCATTTACATACATAACTTGATCCATCTGTTTTAGCTTGTTGTAATCTGAAATGTTCATACTCTGTATTGTCATTCTCTCACAGGGTTTTATTCACTGGTACTATGGTGGTGATTCGCTGACATTTTAGAATTGGCTTCCCCAGGAAAGAGAACTAAGTGTCCTAGAGAAGCATCTCAGCGCAAGAATGCCTCTGTTGGTCAAGAAGGTGTCCAAGGTCTTCGTGCATAGGGCATGAGAACCTTTCCTACCGCCTAGCCTTTATAGCTAATTCCATACAGGTCAGTGGTCCCTATTTTGTAACTGCGATCAATTTTCAACTTTTAAATGTTTATGCCTATACTGATATATATGCTTCATTTTCTCCTCGCAGATTTGTGATGGTAGAAAATATAATGATATCAGGAAGAGGCGGGATTCTGATGATGATGATATCCAGCAGTTCATGGTTGGTTTCTTAATGAACCATTTTTTCCTCTTCTCAAGGAACAACATGCGATTTTTTGTTTTTGAATAAGTTATTCACATCCATTTGGCACTTTCCCAAAAGTAGGCAAAATAATTCATTCATCACTAAATCATTACGGTACAGCTTAAACTATGCCTTTGAGATACACATTATACGAAATTTGTCTATTGCTGAACAATACAACTATGGGTGAAATTTCATCATAATGTGGAGGTGCAAAGACTACTAAAACTTGTTGTACTGCTTTCTAGTAAAATGCACAAAACTTTACGGCATTTCCAAAAATCAGTAAAAGAACACGAAATTTATAGCAGTGAGACAGCACTATACTTTTGTATGTCTTCCCATTTTATGGTTTGAGTACATATCTCGTTCCTGAATAACTTGTGCCCTAATTTTGCTTCATTTGATTTGTTTGGCCAGGCAGAAGAGTTGGATGATATCCGACAAATGAGGAATACTCCCGACTTCTTCAACAAAATTGTTGATAGCATTTCCCCAACTGTTTTTGGCCACCAGGATGTCAAACGAGCAATTCTTCTTATGCTTTTAGGTGAAGTCCATAAATTTACCCATCAAGGAATCAATTCGATTATCCCTTACAATATGTTTTGTTGACATAATAATTTCTAATGTTCCATCCGTCTTACAAGTATGCATCAGGTCTAGTTCCAAGGTCCGTCTACACTCTACACATCAGGGAAATTTTAATCTGCTGCTGGGCTAACTGCAACAGTGGCCAAAGAACCAGGAACCGGTGAATTCTGTATTAAGGTATGCATTCTTTTGTTCTCTTTCTACTTTGCTTTTCCCTGAACTAGGAACTGCTTGTTTTGTATCTTGTTGATTTTTTTGACATGTGAAATGAAAATGTCAGGAAAGGTCATTGGCCTATTGAATGTGTTGGTGCTTTAAATAAGAATTTACTTCACTGCATCAAAACTACTGAAAATATATTATGATTTTTCATGTCCAATCATTTCATACCGAAAATTGAATACAACGGATGTCATTATCTAATCTAAGATTGCATAGAGAAATAGACGCTCCTTTCTCGTAAGTATATTTTTGCACATCGACAATTCTATTTAAACATGTTTTTTACTATTATAATTGAGTCTTTTTCTAATTCCACAATTTGATATGGTACCTTCCATGTTGATTAACAATTACTTCTGCTCTTAATGTCTATATAATTATTGCTCTTAGGCTGGCGAATTAATGCTAGCTGACAATGGCATCTGTTGTGTTCATGAATTTGACAAGATGGACATTAGAGATCAGGTAATTATAGCTTAAAATTCTCTTCATCCATCTCGACCCCCACCCCCCATGGCTTACAATGCACCAAAAAAGAATGCGGAAGAAAATTTTAAATAGCACTTTTATGGTGGTAGTTAGCAACTTTGTATTTTTTACTAACTTTTAATGTTGCCATCCATGAAGCTATGGAGCAGCAGACTATAAGCATAACTAAAGCTGGAATACAAGCAACATTGAATGCTCGAACATCAATTTTAGCTGCTGCCATTCCCACTGGGGGACACTATGATAAGACTAAACCATTGAGTGAGATATATCTATCGATGGTAAACAGATTACCTCATTGCTCATCATAATGTTAGAGTTCATCAAAAGCATGAAAATGCACTTGCTCCCGCATTTAGAACTGCACAATTGAAGCGATACATGTCATATGCAAAGACTTTGAAACCGAAGGTATGTTGTTATTTCATGCTTTGTCCAAAATGCTGTAATTGTACTCATTCATCCTTTGTTTGAGTGAATGTGGCGTATGCAGCTGAGCCCAGAAGCTAGGGAATTATTGGTGGAATCTTATATTTCTCTTCGCAGAGGTGACACGGCTCCTGGTAGTAGAGTTTCTTATCGCATGCCAATGAGACAACTAAAGGCACTAATCAGGCTGAGGCAATCGCACAGAGTCATTTAGATACTGAGGTTCTTTATTTGCTCTAGCGTATAAACTTTCTAGAAAATACAGGTTTCTGTCTCATCTAATGGGTTTAATATTGATAGGTGCAACCACGCTATGTACGTTTTGTTTTGAGATTGCTTAAGACATCAATTATCAGGTGTGCAGTGTGTTGTCCTTTTAACAATACAATCCCTTGTCATCACCTATTCAGATAAAATGATGATTTGTATTATTTAATTTTAATTTCCAGTGTGGAGTCAAGTGATATTGATCTATCAGAGTTCCAAGACGAGAAGCAGGGTAGTGATGATGGCATGGCTGATAATGGAGAAAGTGTTTCTGATCAAGTGAAAAATTCAACTGGTGCAGCAACGCAGCAAGCTTCTGAGACCGGAGGTTGGGGGAATTTACTGTAATACATTTTACATGCTTTATTGTGCTTTTTAAAAGTGCAAGCATATTGTGTTATCTTATTATGTCATCCTGGTACAGAAACTTTAGGAGACTCTGAAAGCAGGCAATGAAAAAAACTTGTAATATGTGATGAATATTTTCAGAGAGTTACTCAAGCGCTTGTCATGCGACTCAGGCAGTACGAAGAAACTATAATTCATCAAGGTAAACCATTAGCGTAATTCGTTTAGCGAGATGATACATTGCATTATATTTTAGCAGGCCAGAAGAAAATAGAATTCTCCAATTTTACTCTCTTACCCTGTAATATTCCACTAAATGCATAAAATATTTGTGGGAACTGGCTTGACTGGAATGAGGCGGAGGGATTTGATACAATGGTATGTAAATCAGCAGAATGAGAAAAACAATTATAGCTCCATGGAAGCAGCAGCAGTCGAAGTCAAAAAAGTGAAAGCCATTATAGAGGTTAAAATCCTAACTTGAGCAATTTAGTGGGCAATGTAGTGGCAGTGTTTACCTTTTATCTAAATATAACATATAAGCATTAAATAGTAACTGGACTTATGGCAATAATGCAGAGCTTGATAAGAAGGGAAGGCCATCTGATGGTAGACAAGCAGCAGAGGAGTCTGAAAACGTGAGATCCTCATCCAGAGATGATTGGATTTTAGCTGTAGCCCCAAATTATGCTGTTGATTGATTTTTGGTGGGCTCTTTTCTTTTTCTTATTTTTTTAAACTAAAACATCCCTTGATGACCTTTCACTATCCGAGAGTCTGGTTCTCCTTCGGATTTGGTATAGTCTGTCTGCTCTATTCGGAGTTACAATTGGCAGTCGCTTCATCGTCATTCTACCATGTTTATTCTTAAGAAAAGAAGAAAAAAAATGGAAATTCAACTTCCTATTGGCTGCTGCTATTTTCTTTGATGGTTGGAGGGGATAATAGTGTTACTTGTGTACAAGTAATTTGAACTGTTGTCTTGATTTTTAATGTATCATTTTTGTTTATGATATAAGATCTTAGAATCACTACTGTACTTTTATTCATGTATCTCGATGGACAGTTTTATATATATATTGAGTATATGTGAACTTTTAAGCTGGTACTGTTCAGTTGCTTGGTGATAGGAGTTGAACAGCTGAGGCAGTCAAATGACTTTAAAGGTTAATTTATCATGTTTCAGAAAATTTGCTGGAAAAGAATGAAAAATGAGGTAAATTGATTATTGAACTAATCAAAATTCAAATAGAAATAATGCACGAAATAGTCACTGTCTCGTTGATCTTAAAATGTTAAACGAGAACAAGCGTTGTGACTACCATTTCGGACTATGTGAATGTTCAATCAAGCCATGACTTTATTTCATACATATCAATGCAAGAATCCATTTTTCCATTCTAGAAACTTTTTGAATTCTATTGAATGTTCGTATGTGCACAAGCACCATGAACAAATCTTCCAAAAAAGGTCAATTGTTCAAATATCTAATAGGTATAAGAATCCTGGGACTCAGCCTAACAATCACATAAAAAAAGATATTTAAAAAAAAATGATAGCGAGTTTACATCTCAAAACTCGTTCTACATCACACTTAAAACAATTTTAAGGGATAGAAAAATTACTGATGTTGGAAGGCACAAGATATTCCAAAAAATATTTCACTTCAAAACCTGGTTGGGACTCGTCCACTTCTATGTTTTGTTGAGCAGATGAGTAACACGGGGAATAAGCTCCTGTAAATGAACGTTAAGATGGGAATACAAAAGTTAAAAAGAAAAGCACATGTAATTTATCGTCCACCTGAATTGTAAAGCGAATAGTTAAGAACATAAGGCAATGTTACCTCTGAACAGCGGACATCATCATGCCGTGAATTTGAAGTTTTCACAATAGTCTCCCACGTGTTGTCATTGGCTATAGCCTTTTGAGCCTGTTTCTTGGGGTGATATTGGCTGGAATGTGAAAATGGATTTGGCAAAGAAATAGAAGGCAGGGTTCGCCAAAGCCAAGATTCAGAGGGTGACTTTGGTAAAGGTGGGGGTAAAGGTGACTTCAGGGATGGAGAATCAGCATCTCTCTGATTGTCTTGTTCGATGTTTTCTTTATTATTCACACTAGAGTTTGCATCAGAATGAACTTTTGAATAATCAACTAATCTGCATTCTTGATCAAAACTTTGATTTGGTAGAACCATATCAGTTGATCCAGATAATTTAGGACTCCGGCTTTTCCCTTCTGTTGAAATGTCCAGGGAAGATGTGTCTATATCAGAAGATTTAACAGGAACATTTTCTTCAGTTCGTCTACTGTCATTCGAGGACTTCAGATTCTTATCAGAGAAATCAAAAATCTTATCTGATTTATCTGCTGTTTTAGTCACAGCATTCATATACAAAGTTTTTTCAACAGCATCACCTGGAGAACACAATACTTTTCTTTGCATGTGATTCCTTGATACGTCTTGCAAGGCCTTGCACAACTTGCGAGATGAAGCAATTTTATTAGCACTGCGTCCATGAACGTAAGATTTCGATGCTTCATTTTGATAGGGAGAAACAGGATGACTTTTGCGCAATTTTGGGATCAAGCTCTTTCCTCCCTCAGAAACATTCGGGGATGATTTATCTTGATCGTAAGATTTAACTGCTTCAGTTTGTCTGCATTCATCCATGGACTTCAAATTCTCACAAGGGAAATCAACAATTTTCTCATCTTTTGAAGAATCTCTATTAGTTGGACCATCCACATACAATGTCTTCTCAACAGCAACACCTGGAGAAACCGATCCCTGTTTATGTATTTGATTTCTAGATACATCCTGCGTGGGCTTACACATTTTGCGTGATGAAGCAATCTTATGTCCATTATGCTTATGATTCTCAATTTCTTTAGGTACACCAAGAAATCCTGCACCTTCATGAAATGGAGACTTTGGTGCTTCATTACGGTAGGGAGATATGGGACCGCTTCTGCACTGCCTTAAGGAAGGCACCCCAGGTTTAAAAGAGTCACTGCAGTAGGAAAACTGATTGGAATCACTCCTTAGCTTGTTTCCAATATCTAGCATGTCCCGAGATAGTACTCCAGAATGATACTTTTTCTTATAAATGGCATGATACACATTCTGCATGGATTAGAAATATCAATATGATCATTGACAATATCTTCTTTAAGAATTATAGAAACGGCAATAGAAGTTCAATAGTTACCTTGTCGATGGGTCCACTGTGCCCATTTCTGGTCAGTCTCCTAACATCACCTGCTGGAGACATTGGAGCATGGATTTTTGATTTCATTCCTGGCAATGGATTTAAAAGGCACAAAGAATTCTTCACACAAAACCGAGGGAGTATCCCCCAGATTTTTCCTGATTTTTTGACTGGAACTGTACATTTCGGATCATCATATTCACTTTCCACATTCTCCATATACTGAATGTAACGTGACATAATGTTAGAACCATATTGCTCAAATAAAGTCTTCCGTTCCCCAGAGACGACCTTTTTAACTGGTTTTGGTTGTTCAATGACTGTCGTTTGCTTCTTCACAACATATTGAGGTGTCTCCAACACAACGGCCTTGGCTGCCGGTAAGAATCTGTTCATCATAAAATCTTTAGTTTGCACGTCGATGGAGAACGTTCCTGATGGTTTTATTCCCGAACCCTGATATCCGCTCAGTCCACTTACACTGTAGTTCAACGACCAAGATTCTGTTAGTGACAACTTATCAAGTGCCTCAGAATATGCATCGTCTCCACTTTCTATATCGGAATCACCTCTAGAATTTAGACTCTCATGCAATTTTTCAATCAGACTAGCGTGATCATTGAATGGAAATGTTTCAATTTGGGTCCTGTTAATATTCGGATCATTCGATCTTTCCCCTGAATTGTATCTCGAGAAACCAGATAATCTCCCAGAAAGGAGCTTAGGACTTTCACCTGAATTATATCTGATGACACCTGATACCCTTCCCGGAGGAAGCCTTGGTGTATTTGAAGGTTCCTCTGGAGGGTGAATTGGACCTTCCCCTTCTCCCTTAGGCCTTCCAGGGATTTTTTCCCAGTGAAATGGAACTGCAGCTGGTTTTGTCACTTCCCCTAATTCGAAATCTGATTTGCATACTGGTAGAGAAATTTGTCGATTAGGGGTTGACTTTCCCATCGAGTTCTTGCTTGCTCCCTCAAAAGAGCGTGTAGGTGAGGAAAATCTCCTTACAGATAAAAGTGGCGCATTGAAATCTAGTTGCTTTTTCGCCATAAGTTCTCTAGGCGATCACCAATCCTTTTGCATCCCTATGCCTCCAACCCAACAAACTACAAAATATTTACAAGTGATTGTCACTTCATCATAATGCGAAAACAGTGAGCATGGGCAAAGATTACAATATAAGGATCATTTAATGTACATCAAATACCTTTAACCAGTCCCTTGCCTGTTCAGGAAAAGAATTTTCTTACAACCAAAAAAAAAGGACAAAAAAATGAAGGTTAATTATATTTAGCCTTTCTTGGATTTTCTACAATAAGCAGCTCAACCATTCATCTATTAGGTAAAAAGAAAATGCTGCCAATAATTGCACAAAACCTTTTAATTTCAACAATAATGAAGGCCAAATATAGATACAAAATTTACATCCTGACATTTTTTCATCAACCAAACCCAACCCCAGTTAACCCCTCATAAATACAGTAATAAAAATAACAGTTACCCCTTCCTGAAATGAGCGTCCTTGAATTTATTTCTATTTCTTATTTAGATTAAAAAAATAAAATCGGAAATTTAGAAAAAAATTAAGCAAAAAGAAAAAAATGATCTTGGTGCTTGATTTCTTGATTATTGCCATTTGATTCCCAGAAATTAGTTCTATTACCCAACAAAACTAAATTAAAAAAACTAACAGAAAACACAACATTAAATGCCATAATACGATCTTCAAGAATTAAGTACTGCCCCGAATTGATAGTAATCAAGAACAGGGTTTAAAGATAAAAATCAAGAAAAACCTCAAACCGCAATTCTGCAAAGGCCAAAGAAATACAATCTTACCACACATACAAAGATAAACTTAAACTGGGCTGTGTTGTACACGAAACAAGATTGCAAATGAATCATCAAACCTCTTAAAACACAAACCAAACCCAGATATTTTTCTTACCTCGTAGCGAGAAATAGCAATGTTTGGTTGTGAGCCTGAGTCTGTGTGGCGTGAATTACGGCAAGAATGAGGAAAGAAAGAGTATAAAGAAGGTAAAGACAAAGAGACACAATGGGAGTGCTTGCTTGTGCTTTTCAAGTGATGAGTATTAGTGATTAGTGAGAGAGAATGTGAATGCATGTGGATATAGGATAGTGGTGGGGGCTGTGAAGAATGGCTTCATCTATTTGTCAGAGGGATCAAGGGAAAACGGTCACGGATAAACCGTTGGGGGTATAATGACAGTTGAATCCAACCACCTTATTTTTCTCAATTAATGATTTATTAATGTGTCAACTGTCAACCAAAATGACTTGCTGTTCATTACACTCTCAACCCCTAAATAGGGTTCTACGACCAAATACCTTTTGCTTCGTTGATTAATTTACACGATTTCTTAAACACTCAATGTCCGCAATTATGAAAATTTGCGCGTTGAGAAAAGTGTAAACTTCGACTAAAAGGTAAGATGTCACGTTAATTAAATATAAGCAGTTAAGTTACTCTTCTTTGAAAAAATTGTCTTTTTAAAAATATACAATGAGAAGATTAGCCCTTGTTTAATTTAGTTAAAATAAGACTTTTAGTTGATTTTATTAAAATTTAATGAAATGTGTAATTAAAAAGTTAATAAAAGTTGTAGATCTTAAGAAAATAGAGATTAAGGCCCTGTTTGGTACTCATTTTTTTCAAAATATATTTCTCTCTCTCCTCTTTTAAACCACACATTCTTTATTAAAATAATATTAACGTAAATAAAAAAAAATTCTTATTTTTCAACCACACAGTTTTCATCAATTTACTATTCAAAGATGTATTTTTACATAAAAATGTCTTCCAAACACCTCTTAAATAGTGGCTCAATGTGGTATCAAAATTCAAAACCTTTGAATGAGCATTAAGCAGGGTCAAACGAATATTCAGATTTCAAACAAGCCACAATTTTTATGAAAACCCGTGAAGAGTAAAATTTCGCATCCTTTGAATATAACAACAATAATCAATATATAAAGGCTTTGATCATTCATGTTAACGAGTTTGACATTTTTAAATGGAACTTAATACTCAATATGATCCCCAAAGCTAGTTATCCCGACATGTGAAGGGATTAGGTCAGCCTATCGTTAAAGGTAAGTCATTTTCGGGTTTAAGTGTATTCAATTACAGAGTCTAAGTATTCTTTCTCCACAGAGCCAATGCGTGGATTAACCTCCACAGTGAGGTTTTCGTGGGATTGGAAGGGGGTCAAACCAAAATTTCATTGAGGGTAGGTTAGAATTTTATGTCCTTGTAAATTTCGTTTTAGGAAATTGAGTTATTGTAAATCTTAATCTTACACTAATATGTCTTATAAATAGGGAGTCGTCATTAGACTTTTATATTATCATCATAAAAGAGAGGAAGAAAGATTAGAGAAGATAGACGTTCGGTTTTGTCTTGTAGACTGCCTTTTAGCATAGCAAATTGTTATAACAGCAGAAGAGGATGTAATCTATCAACTCACAACGAGGACTATCAAAGCCATCTTGGCCGAAGCACTTTCGTTGCCTCGAAATTAATCTCATATTGAGATGAATATCTATAAATATTGGGTATTATTATTATTATTATTATTATTTGTGTTTATTGATTGCTCTCGATAGAATATATTTAGAGTTTTCAATTCTCAAGTAGCTAGGCTTACCATTCGTGTCGAGGCTCATAATTTCCCTAGTGGTGTTGGACCATGTGTGACCATTGACTAGTACAATACAATTCCAAAAGTTTGGCAGCCTTACTTTAAACCTTTCAGTGAAGAGAGTACTTGAAGATATAGTTAAAATCATATGATGAACAAAAAAATTAATTGCATTACGCAATCCACGTGGATTAGTTCTATTTGACCTTGTGTCCATTTTAGGCAGCCATCTATTTCCTTGTGTTACGCTCAACATTGCCCTTACAAAAAGCAAATGTAGACTTCAATTAATATAGATTTGTCTTCTCTATTCACCCCCAAAAGTGGACCCTTTTTTTCTTTTGTTTTTGTACAAATATAAAATGCCCAATAACGATCTGTTGAACAGTACTTTTAAAAAGTTAAAAGTTTCTTTTAAAATTAAAGATCTACTTTTGAACATATCTGAATAATTTTTTTGAAAGATTTGATTTAATCAGAAGAATTTTCGATAGAAGCTGATCTAGAACAACTTACTTATAAAACTCTTCTACAAAAAATAAAAATAAATTAGAAATATTGTGAAACGGATCATAATTGTTTTGGAAGATTAAAGAAATGGTCATATTGTAATAAAAAAAATGTCTATTTCCACAGCACATGTGAGGAGAATTGTCTTTTGTCGGGCAATGTTGACTACATACATCAAGAATATCTTTATTAGTTAGGCCAAAATCCTAAGGGCCTACTTAGGATTCGACACTATTTATGCTAAAGACAGTTTTATCGATTTTATTATAACCTAAAAACAACGGATCCCACCTTGTCAAGCATGTTACCCGGAGAAAAAGGTCCCTAATTTCATGGTGGTTTATCAATCAGCCATTTTATATTTTTAAATTGAATGAAATTGTTTATTTATTTAACATTTTCGATAGGTGCCTTCACTTAATCTATGATCTAACTAACATAACATTTTTACAAATTAGTGTGAGATTAGTACGACTAAGATCCTTTTCATAGCTCTAATATTGTAAGAGACGACTTATAAAAAGGGTTATGTAAGGATTGTTTTTTGATATATTTATTTGACTAGTTTTAATCCGCAAGAGCGTAATCAAAACACAATTTATACGAATGGAAATTTGGACAGAGTTTTGGTATAACGATTACGCAAAACAAGGATTAAGAAGGAGTAGAAATAGAAAATAATTCAAGGCGAGACGTTATCTTTTTCCTTAATACAAGTTTGAGGTTTGTTGGGTATTTCAAGATTTTATTTTTCTCTTTAATTGATTTTCAACCTCCACTTAATAGGATATTGAACTCATCAAAGATTTCATCTTTGGTCTTCACTAAAGAGATATAAAATGCTTAAGAGCAAATCTATAAATGTTACAAACTTTTGTTAATGACTTATTTGAATCACAAACAACACTGTGAATAAACGTTAAGAGACTTGTATTCACTAGTGTCACTTTATAGGCTTCTTAGTCTATTGGGCTTGTAGACAAATTTCACACTTACTATTATCCCATTGGAGATTTGGAAGCACGTTTAGATCCATCAATTTCTTAATCTTCCTTTCATAAACATGTCCAAATATTTAAATTCCATAAACTACCAGATTCAACATTAAGAACCATAGAAAAATTTTGATACACAAATATTCAAGTTAAAAATCCATAACTAATATAAATTTTTCCAACAAATATTTTATTTTTTTGGTATTAGTTATTACAACTTATTTGATTCCATTACGGGTTTAATACTTTGTTGAACAAGAAATGATCTATTACTGTTCTCGTAACTTGAGGAATATGGCGAACTTGATCTAAAATCGAACTCTATAATTCCAATTCTCAATACAAGAGCAACATGTCATTTCCCTAAGTTACGATTCCTTCAGTTGTAGTCCCGAACATGTAACTCTTTTAGAATTTGGGATTTGGCTTGTTCTCATTTGTCTTCTTAAAGTTCAGTATCGAGCAATATGATTGATTCTCCCAAACACAAAACATGGACATAGTGTAATGATTTTTAGGTTGAGAATTTTTCTTATGATGGTGAAAGTTCTTACTGAACCCATTACCTCAAGATTTGAACTGTTTTGAAGTACTAGTGGGGGTTTGGAAAATTTTACCAAGTTAGCCTTCAACTCATCACCCTTACTAAAAACTTTTCTATGTTCGTTTCAAAGAATTAAATGCTTGGTTTAAAGTCATAACTCCCTTGTATCTGAGACCTTTAGCAAGGCCCAACCAAGAGGGTAAAAGTTTATCTTTAAATCATGATACATTATAGTCATTACAAAAATTTGACCTTTTTATCTTCAATATGTAACAAATCTTGAAACTCGTTATTTTTATTTTTTATTTATTTATGGGTTCTCCATCGATCATAACATATTTGTTAGAGATTGATGGATTAAACGTATCTACACGAGCATCATCTCTTACATATGATGTGTCTAAAAATTTTCAAAACTCTTTAGCACCAACGATATTTTGATGTGTCATAAAATTTATGAGAAAGAGCACTAAGAATTCGATTGTAGCGTTAATTGTGTCTTCACTGGATGCCATTATTACACTAGGATTTACCAAAGTAAAGAAAAAATTGTAGAGATAAATTTGTCTACATAAATATACTAAGCAACATTGAAATATCACATCAATTAATTGGTAGATACATTTATGGCGAGGTCTAGAAATAAAATTAGAATTGTTAAATTGATTGTCACGTCATATTTAATTAACTTATACTAAGCAACGGTGATTAGTAAATTATTTATATATATGTATGTAACAACAAATAAGTCAAAGATTTTAAATTTAACTAAATTAATTCTCAAGCCTAAAATATATTCCGAGCAATGATAATGAGATTAAATGAATAATGAAGTTTCAAATGCAACAAGTGCAATTAGAATTATATTAATAGTGCACTTAAGCAAAGTTTCAAATTGCAAATAAATGTAAATACTAAATTGTACAACCCTACTATGTGAATTTGGACTATTATATATACCATTTGTTTTAGAAATCGGACCGATTATGCTTATAAAACCTCTAATTAAAATTTTGTCAGAAACCCATTAAATCGATCGGATTTTGAAAAGCCTGTGATCCGTTTCCAGTTTAACCAATCCAACCTATGTAAATGTATATTTTTTTTAAAAAATAAAGTTAAATGTATATATTTTAATATTTTAAAAATCACCGGTTCGATCAGACTTCAACTTTTTGACCCTTAACCCGTTTTTTTCTTTTTTCAGGTCAATAGCGTGATTGATTTTTAAAACATTGATATATACAATTATATTGTATTAAAAATCTGAGCAAAAAGCTGTTAAGACAGATGTATAATTGTAAAATTCCATTCAAGAAACTAAAAGCATACTTGGAAGTGTTTACAATTCACTCACTTTTGATCAAAATGCCATTTCTTCGTACATTTTCTAATATCTAGTGTAAGAATTTTTAATTAAAGATGGACTTGTATGTGTGAATAATTGTGT